TTTAAGCAGTTAAAAAATCTAGACCAAGTGATCACTTACTGCTTTTTATTAAATGAACACGCATATACAGTATGTAACTGAAGTACTGCAAAACAAGTACAGAAAGTGCATTGTCAACTTTTTTTAAGTGTATGCAATTCACAATTTATACTGTGCAACTGGGGGAAATAATTAAACTGGGATGAGTGGTTTTTTTTACATGTTTTTAGATATACACAAGTTTGTCAACTCTCTCTGGTTTAAGAGAAGTTTTAATTTTGTTAAAAAAAAATTTTCTTCTTTTGAATACATTTTAGTCTCGTCTTTTTTCGTCAACGAAATTGCATGTTGATAATAGTCATAGTTTTCGTTTATTGACCTTATTGTCGTCTCATCTTTGTCTCGTCTTAGTCATGGGGAAAAAAGCTCGTCAGCGAGCATTTTTCGTCATAGTTTTCGTTAACAAAATTAACACTAGTCTCCATTTTGCTAATGTGTAAAAAAAAAAAAAGACCCTCCCCCACCTCACATCTCTTGCGCGGTAATAAGTAAGGGGACGAAATATTGGATGTTCGGCGCATTCTTTTGGGAAAGTATGCTTGAATTTGAAATATTCGATATTCACAATATTTTAAAATTTTACATAGTCGTCAAAATGATTGCGATATTATCGGTAATATTCGATATATTGCCCAGCCCTACTCCGCATATAACTTGCATTTTGTGGTTATATACTTATCTGTCAAATGTTAGAAAGTCTAGAAAGATATAATACTTATATGTAAATTCATTTTAAAACAAATGAAATAACTTTACATTTTGATAGATGGATAAACATAAACAACAAGATTTAAGTGTGTGAATTAATGAAAGCATTAATTTGATTTATTTTTGATTTTGGCAGATCTGCTCCTCCAACCACACAGGAGTTCATCAACAGTTCAGCTCTTCCCACAACAGTGAATGAAAGAAAGCTGAAAACATGACTGATCCAGAACCCTGCGGAATAAAACTGGAAGATGCTGAAGAACAAATAGGTTGGTGTATATTCTTCATTCTTCACTATGTTTATAAAACTTCAAGCAGTTACTTGGCGTACTGGCACTTGTGGTTAAAGGCATTGACAGTACGTAAGTACACTGAAGCTAAGCAGGGTTGAGCCTGGTCAGTACCTGTATGGGAGACCTCCTGGGAAAATCTAGGTTGCTGCTGGAAGGGGTGTTCGTGAGGCCAGCAGGGGGTTCTCACCCTGTGGTCTGTGTGGGTCCTAATGCCCCAGTGTAGTGACGGGGACACTATATTGACAAAAAGCTTGTTAAACCGAGATTCTGACTCTCTGTGGTCATTAAAAATCTCAGGATGTCCTTCGAAAAAGAGTAGGGGTGTAACCCCGGCATCCTGGCCAAATTCGGCCATTGGCCTCTGATCATCATGGCCTCCTAACCATCCCCATATCTGCTGATAGGTTTCATCACTCTGTCTCTTCTCCACCAATAAGCTGGTGTGTGGTGGGCGTTCTGGCGCAGTATGACTGCCGTCGCATCATCCAGGTGGATGCTGCACACTGGTGGTGGTTGAGCAGATTCCCCCTTCTATGTGAAGCGCTTTGAGTGCCCAGAAAAGCGCTATATAAATGTAAGGAATTATTATAAGTCACTAATGCTAAAAAAAAATTCCCTTTCAAAAAGAAAAGACTTGCTGTAAAAAAATGAAAAGAATAATTTGAGCCAGTATTGTCTTCAACTGTTGTTTTGAAAAGAGTTGTTTTAAAATAAATAACATCACAAAAGTAACATCACAAAAAAAACATCACCACCCCTCGTGCTCTACCGTTATCTTTCTCTTAGGAGTCTAAAGCCCAAAGTATCCTTCACTTTTTACGCGTACACAAGGGACAGCGTACAGTGTGTATGACCCGAATTTCGTCATCACAATAGTACGCGCATACTGTGCATACGTGCACCACCTGATTTTTGTAACTGTGCGTACTTTGTACGAAAGTATGCACAGTTACAAAAATCAGGTGGTGCACATATGCACAGTATGCGCGTACTATTGTGATGACAAAAGGTCACAAGCGCATTGAAGTTATTTTGCAGTAATCAGATGTTCTACAAGGTGGTAACACAGGCTATTTTTTCAAAGTAGAAAACAAAACAGAGACAGAACAGCAACAACAAAATAGCAGAGACTGCAACAACAACAGACGCTCACATTGACAAGTGCTTGGGAGTGAGAGGGTATGAGACAGCCCAGCTTTGGTTAAAAAGAGTTCAAAAATATTTGTTATCGGTCATAAATTATAGCGGAAAAATGGAGCAGACACTGGAGATGGATGAAGCTTCCTTGAGCGCATGTGTCGACCATTTGCGTTCGCACACAACATCAAATGGAGTATACTTTGAAAGACTACGCGTTCAACTGTACGCATACGCTAGGTGGTCTCTTTGAGGGTTCCAAGGAGGACTTTGCTAAAAAACACTACTGTTATTGACAGCTTCTGTGCAGGGAAATAGTTGGACACCATGAAGAACTCTGCCCCCTCCAGCCAAAAGAGCCAGGTGATCATAAGCGGAGCGTGTGTAAGGCTTAGCCTTCCCCTGGCCATGGGGACTTGGGGCAAAAATGCCAGCAAACTGAACAAAAATGCTCCTGCACAATTTACCCTTTGCAAACAGCTTGATTGACCGGTGATCTGACCAATCATAACGCCGATTTCACCATTTTGTCCGACAAACAAATCAGACAGGAGCATAGATTAACTTCGGTAGATTTAAAGAAAGTCCCTTTGGCTTAGACTTGAAAAATTGTGTGTATGACGTCTTTCCGCGGTTGAAATTAAATATGTTCTTATGTTCGTTCATGTTTCTTTTTCGTGCTTAAAGTAAAGAAGAAAAGACGATCAGTTCACGTGTCGATTGATCTAATAAG